ACTTCACATTTATGATTATCATATATTCATTGTCATTAATTCCTCACTTCACGGGTTTGTTATTGGCTTGTTAGTTCAATCGGTAAAGCACTGCACCGGTATCGCAGAGGTAATGGGTTCAAATCCTGTACAGGCCTGAATTCATTTCAGGCCTTAGTGTTCATTACTAGGAAGATCCCTTTCATATTCACTGATTTTGATGACGTGAAATTCTTGTGATTTTGTTACTTCGTGCAGTTAAAGAACTGTTCAGTGAATCGTTATTTTTTGGCTCACCGTACTCAAAATGTTACCTGTATTAACTATGACTTAGAAATGACTTCCTTCGATTCACTCAAATATCACCCTGATTTGCCGCAAATAACGGTGGTTCAGGTTTTGTCTGGGAATGCACACGACGACGCCTTCAAGCTAGAAACACAAATGCAACACTTTCCACTATCATATATAATGAGGTCGTTCTTATCTCTTTCTTCATATTGCAACTCTACACTCTCAAAATAATTCTGGAATGATGAAACTCTTAATCCATCCGTTAACGAAATAAATTCAAGGGAATTTCCTGTCGGGTTTTAGTAGAAGGCAAAGTAAAATTCACCTCATAGCAGCAGAGAATCCCTGGATTACTTCGCCTGCTGAAGGACCCAGGAAATGAAGACCTAAGACTTGCTGATCACCTTCACGCAAACAGACGGCCTACAAAAAAAGACAATGGGAAAAAAAAATTAAACGGAAAGAACTTTCAAACTCATACTGAAGCAGCTTGGACTGCTGAGATGTGTGCGGTTGTCTCTCCCATCCAGGTGAGCCAAAGTGACGAGGCACAGGCCTGCACTGTCACAACATTCTCACTCAGCAGATTTCTCTTGTAATTAAGAACGAAAAGTAGTTAATTCTTAAAAAGCAGAAAATAACTATCATAAATGGAAAGGGAAAAGAAATACAAATAAACGATGAAAAAAAAACTTATCAAGTACTGAAAGAGATATCGCAAACACACGAAACGTTCCGACCTCGACACAGAAGAAGAACAAACCATATGAAAGCTAAGAAACGTGAAATATATCGAGCGGGGATAAAAGTGACTACCACATGTAAGGAAACACTTTACCTTAATATAACACTGCTCCACTTTTCTTTCAGGTACTGTAAATTCTAGTGGTTTGTAGAAGGCATGATAAACCTACGAAGCCAAAGGAGAAAACAAACCGATTTTCAAAACTTTTCACGAGTTTAATTGGAGGTATGTTAACTAACAAATGAGAAATAACCTCAATGTTGTCTTCCCCGTAACGCTCAATAGCTTTTTCTTCTGACATTCCAACTGTTCCAAACTCCAATGGAGTAAACACTGTCGTCGCCACCTAAAGTTGAAAAAGATCAGAGGAAGGGAATATTGTTATCTATAAGTGTACTGGGATATTTAACAGTTCACAGAAAATTACATGTTTGTGTTGATACACTTAAAAAAGGTACTTTGAGATGTCTGTAAACTTAGGGCGGATAGAAAAAGAGCCAGTTCCAAACGTGGTCAAATGGCGCAAAATAAAAAACGGCGCGAAAATAGCAGCAGAGCGAAAACGAGCGAGGTTTGGGTCTGGTCGCATGTAGTTCATTATGCAACCCGACCCAAGCCTCCCTCCTTTTTTTTAACTCCTCTGATACAATAGTGCGGTTCATCATTGCTCTTCGTTTTACCAACTGAACGCCTGGGACAAGCTCAGCAAACAAAGGAGGGTAATTTTGGAGGAGTGTTTCATGCGACATGTCCAGAACCTCCCTTTTTTCTGACTCTGAGAAGCTATCGAGTCCTGTTTACTAACTGAACGCCTGGAACAAGCTAAACAGGCTGAAAGATGGTTCATCCATGGTGGACCTGTGACATACCTTGTCGTAATCCATCGTCACGTCAGACCCCCCGAACAGCCTATCAGCGAGCAGTTTTCCCGCTCTGATGGCTACAGGTGTCAGCTCTGGACGATCCTGTTCACAAAGAAAATTGCAGTTCTCAAAAAACTTCACGAGTCTAAAAAAACATCAATTGGTTCGGAGGATTTCCTTGTTCTTTCAAACCGTCAACGCAACGTAGCCCCAAAAGAAGCTTCCTTTAGGGGTGGGTGGGGGGAAAAGTTGAGATGGCTTACATCCCAAAGAACAGAAACCACGGCTATAAAGGGAATTAGGGAAATTGCCAATGAAGCCACGCAGTGCTGCTATAATAGAGTTTCAGATTTCATTACGGCGGAGTGTTGGAAAACGTTGCCGAAAAAAGCCAACTTCCTTATCCCCTAAGAATTTCGTCAGTAGCTCGACGCGTTTACCGTTTCTGACGGTGCGACATCTTCCATTCGGCAGAAAATATAAATTAAGTGTTGAATTCAAAGTAAAATCGTGACTAAATTTCTGTCGAAGTTTCTTTACTTTGTTCTGTACGAGACGCCTGAGGAATGACCAAAGTTTTAAACGCACGTGCAAGGCTATTGTTTTGTTCATTACATCTTTTGTTTCGCTACGTTCTCGTCGCCGTCACTGTCGAGGTTTTCTTGAAGTCCCTAATAATTCAACAAAGACATCGTTCGCACGTTTTTTCCAACTTCACAACATAAGTGGTTCTCACCTGGACGACGTCCCCAATGGCGAAAATGTGCGGAACTGAAGTTTGCTCCTTGTCATTGGCTATGATCTTTTTGGTCTGTTGGTCTAATTGAACCCCGGCTTTCTCAAGATTCATCTGTGATGTCTCAGGATCTCTACCTAAAATAACAATAATCCTTCTTAATCCACCGACAGAGTCCTTCATGCTAGTGGATTGTCAGATAGCTTCACGGTCAACACTGGGGTCAAGCAAGGTTGTTTGATGGCACCGTTTTTGTTTCTACTTGCTATGGACTGGATCATGAAGGAAACAACTAGAGAACAGCGAAATGGGATCCAGTGGAACTTATTGGAGCAACTTGAAGATCTAGAGTTTGCTGATGATATTGCCCTGGTGTCAAGTAACAACCAACAAATGCAGGACAAAACAGCACGGCTAACAGCTAATTCCATCAAGTTAGGCCTGCATCCGAATGTGAATAAGACCAAGGTTATGAAGGTCAACTGCACCAACAACAGACCAGTTTAAGTGAGGGATACCATCTTGGAGGAAGTAACATCTTTTGTCTACCTAGGCAGTGTAGTCAGCATTGACGGAGGTTCCGATGAAGATTTCAAGGTCAGGATAAACAAAGCCAGAGTAGCTTTCAATACGCTGAGGAAAGTGTGGTCCTCCCATGTCATCTCACGGAGAACCAAATTTAGAATTTTTAACACCAATGTCAAAGCAGTCTTCCTCTATGGCTCAGAAACGTGGAGAACAACTAAGCAAACGTCCCAGAAATTGCAGACCTTCGTCAATAAGTGCCTTAGGCGAATCTTAAAAATCAGTTGGACTGACAGGGTAACGAACGAGATGCTGTGGGAATTAGCAGGCGAGGAACCAATCATAACTCAGATCTCAAAGAGAAAGTGGAGATGGATAGGTCACATCCTAAGGAAACCGGCTAACAACATCACCCGGCAGGCACTACGTTGGAACCCCCAGGGCAAGAGAAAGAGGGATCGTCCCAGGAACTCCTGGCGAAGAGGTGTAGAGTCCCAAATGAGAAACTGGGGCCACACTTGGGCCACTTTAGGAAGATTTGCCCAGGACAGAACCCGATGGAGGACGGAACTGGTTAATGGCCTATGCTCCAACCGGAGCTAAGGGAATATATATAATCCACCGACACTGAGGTGAATAGTTGTTTTAGTATATACTGAAACAGTGAGATAATATAGCACAAAAAGATGATGATGGCCGGAGGTGAATGGCAAGGATATTCAGAGGTTTGAATAACCAATCAGAGCGCACCTTCAACGATATCTACTGTTGCTATGAACTAATAATTGTTAACTATGGGAACCAAATGGATTCGTATGTCACAGGCAAACCGCCCATACTAATTAAATCATATGGAGAATTACTAAAGCCACAGGCACTTATAGTGAAATACCAAATGTAAAATGTGAAGGCGAGGCACAAGGATCATATTTAAGTCTCTAATTACTTAATGAATTGATACTTTAAGTACCAAGATAACAACGTCGCAACCTCGACTTATGAGTTGATTTGAGAAATATTTAGAACATTTCAACACTGGCCTAAAGGCTTTCAAGTAGTTTTATTTTGCACTCATAAAGAGGGCGATAGAAATGAGATTCTGAAAAAAAAATTCGTGGATTATTGAAGATCAATCACTTATCAACACTAAAAACCACGCTTCGCCTCTGAAAACAAAACTGCACATAAAGTTCGGTTTCAATTCCAAGAAACACTTACCTCTTTCGGCTAAATTTTGGCAAATATTATGAACTATTTTTCTTTCCCTATTTAATACTTTAATTTTTATGGCTGTTTCAACATTACATACTTACATAAAGGAAGTGCGAGAAAAAATAATCTTGGATATCGGTTTTGATGGAGTTCTTACCAATTGCAAATAGAACAGTCTCAAATGGTTCTTTGCGTGATTCTCCCGTCACAGAATCCTTCCATGTTACATGAAGAAGTCCATCATCAGCTTTATCTATCCGCACTGGAACACACTGCTTGATGATTCTTGTTCCATGGCTCTCCATGTAATCTGTAGCAAGTTGTGCCATTTGCTGCAGAGAAGAAAGGACTTTTTAACTCTAATAAACTGCATATGAAGCAACATGAGTTTCGGAAAAAGCATAATTGCAATAATTAGGAAAGGTGGCTACAAAACAGTAGAAATATATCACAAATGGCCCACACGAACCGACGAAAGTATACAACCTATGGAAAGAGAAAAGTTTTATTTCATTCGGACTTAAACTTCAGAGTTTCTATTCCACTTAAACCAACGCAGATATTTATTTTTTTCAAAAAAAATTGAAAGGAAAACGCGTTCCTTTTGTACAGGGTCGACTTATTTTTGGGAAAGCCCTCGTGCCAGAAACCGCGCGCAGTTCATTACGAGGAGTGGTGTCAGTGGGATAAAGCAAGTGGTGCACTGATCTTCTGTTTATAGAAGGGG